TAGAGTTCTTTGTTTTAGGAAGATCAGCTCTTCCTCATCTAGCAGCAATCAGTTGTCAATATCCCTTTAGAGAAAATTGGGGTCTGCTGTTCATTTTCCCACTTGTATGCTGGGTTACTGTCTGTGAGTCTTTTGGGCCACCCTGGCCAACAACTCAAAGGAAGGTACCTCCTATCTGGCATTGTTTCTTGTTATGTAGCTTTTAGCTATACATACAGACTCCTAAAAAATTATATTGACCTCATTAATCTTTGGTTATACTTTCCTTTTGGGTGTTTAAAACCCTACAATTGGTCAGATAAACCAGTTTATTTTTACTCTTAAGGTCGTTTGAGGATCTTTACCTCAGGGGTCACATGGGCTTGGGAGGAGCCCCTGGCTCCATTCTTTTACCAGTTCCGTCTATGTGAAGATAAATCAAAGGTCCCACTCAACCATGTGGCTGGCTTCACTTGGAAGCATGGAGGAAATGTTTTCTCTGTCTTGACCCTCCTCTTTGTAGACTGGACACCTGTTCAAGTCCATCTGGTGGGATCTCCATAGCCTCCTTGATCAAGAGGACAGGTGACTAACCACAGTTAACAGGACATTTTGAGAGATGCTTATAGTCCCCTGGAACTTAGTTGACCTAGGAGGGAAAGGAATTGTTTAGGGTAAATGTAGGGCAGTATAATGGAGCAGGTTGCAAAAGGGGTGGAGATGAAATCTGATAGTCACGGATGAGTAGTTAGAGTAGTAGGTTTATAGAAGATCTTAGTTAATAATGGTATGGTAAGTCTGGGACTATATTGACTGTAGGGGAAAGATTAAATATAAGTGATATTGGCAAATAAAAGTGATAGGCCAAGTAGTAGGATCAGGCTTTTTTTAAAGTTATAAAAATTTTAAATATATGAGTGTTTTGTCTGCCTGCATATATATGCCCCATGTGCATAAAATGCCCATGGAGACCAGAAGATGGTGTCATATAGCCTGGAACTGGAGTTACAGATGATTGTTTGCCACCATGTGGGTTCTGGGAACTGAATCTAGATCCTTTGCAAGAGTGGTAAGTATTCTTAACTACTGAGCCATTTCTAGCCTGCCTCCCTCTCTCTTT